GAAGTATCCTTTTGCAATACCTTTTAAAGGGAATTAAATTTGTGCGTTCTTTAAGGAATCATGCGTTAATAAGCCTCTAAAAATGAAAGCATTTACATCAACAAGCAGATGCCTCTGATGTAAAGTCACCTCTAAGCACTGATTTTAATCAATGCTCGCGGGATTGGCAAAGAACCTAATCTGGTTCACCAAAATGTCAGTCACCTTTGCTACAGCAATTTCAATCCTAAAGTGACGCCGTTTCCTATAACGACAAAAACCCCGGAATGCATATATTATGTGTGGCTCATTACAGCGTAAATGCTTTCTTTTGGCATTTATTAGCGAATTAAATCTGAAACATTTGACGCTTAGTTGACCAACAGAAGAAAAAGGCGATGCTATAGTGTTTTTATTCACTAATTAAATTCCATTTTATTTATCACACTTACCATTCGGTCTATATGTAAAGCGATTTCTGTTTAAATTTAACCTTTTATTCACATATTTGAAGCGTTTCTACCAATGAAGGCCCCAGAATGTACAATAGATCCAAAAGTCTGGCAACATTATTTTCCATAGTTCATTGAGGAAAAATCTTGGTTCGGAGTTTATCATTACTGATAAATGAATAACTTGGCATTAGACTGGGTAGTCTATACCCATTTTATGTAGGTCTCTCACTTTATACAAAAATTCTTTAAAATGGTGTTAAAACCCAGGCACAAATAAGGATTAAAACATATGCGATATCACCTTTCAATATAAAAGTATTTGCTGGCGTTGACGTCTGGATGATTGACGAGCTCAAAGGAGATTTGGCGATTTTCAGGAAGAAAGTCAGCATCATGAGCCTCTATGCGACCAACAATCGACTGTTTTGGCAAGCCCTCTGCCAGATCAAAAGCATAGTGCCTCTTCAAAATTACGGGGGGATTATCGTTGACATCTTCAAGCTAAAACAAAAAAAAATTCTAATGGAAATCAAGAAGAATTGATTTTAGCCTTAATCTAAGTGACTAAAGATGAAAATGAAGGTAGCAATTTGAGAACCAAGTTGGCCAAGGTCAGAATCGAAAAAAATATTTTGTTTTTGTTAGCGCAGACTGCATTTTTTTATACTCCATCGTAATAATCTACTCCTCTGATTCAATATGGATCATAAAATCAAGCTTCTATACTTCATGTGACTCGACCTTCCATTTCGAATGAAAAAGTTGTCTGGAAGTTATTTCTTGAATTGGGTTTCTCTGAAACTGAACGAGGATTACTGCGGACTGAATAATGTTGGATTGTATGAAGAAGTCCTCGGCTTACTGTCTCTTGACTCTGATGAATCTGCACCAGGCTGTCGTCTGTAAAGCCGTGAAAAACAACATCACATTGCGAAATCGCACTGTATGAAATAGCGCATAAAATATATTAAATCAAGCTAAAAGGTTACTGGCTGCAACTCCAATCACATTGTATACATAGTCTTGTGATCTTAATGAGGCATCCCAAGATTTGATGGGCTACATTGAGGTTAGTCTACATGCTTGCAGATGAGTGAGGGTAATTTATGAATAGGAAGTGGATACAGTTGCAGCTGTTTCTTCACATAAATAAAACATATTTGGCTCATGATTTAGTAAGTGTTTTTGCCTCTTGTGTGTATGTAATGTTCATATAATAATAGGAAAGATGACCCTTATCAGATTCGAGACGATTCCGACCTTCTCTTATGTACTCACTTTCATATACCAGCTCTTCCCAT